GGAAAACAGAGTGTTTGTGGAAACCTATTTTTAGTTGCTGACAAAACCAAAAATAAAGTCGATGCAGAATTCATGATCAGCATTATTTGAGTCTTCAGCACTTCTGTGTGAACCCAAAAACTTTGTAATCTGTCATCTCGCTCATAGCACACAATCCAGGACCTTTTTTCCCCCCTTTAAAGCCTGCTGCACTGATGCGGCACAATTGATTGATGAATTCTTAAAATGGCTATCCTGGAAAATCCTGCAGCGTTTAAGACAGGAAGAGGTCGGACCTCTGTGTGCGTGTCGCCGAGATTAACAGTCCACAGCTTCTACAGCACATTCTGTTTTCTACTTTGACTTGTACTTTAATGCAATTCAATGAAAATGATCACCTTCATTAGTTCAGCCTCAGTAATCAGTCATACTTCGCCATGCAACACTTAAAGTTTCCTCCTACTTTTCACTCAAGTCCTCTGTGGCTGTAACCTTGGTCTTCAGGCAGTGATATAACCACTGCCAACAAACTGCATCTGATGATCTGAGCTGGCTCTTGCTGATCATCTTACGAACAAGAGACGAGGCAGTTTATGACAAATGCCTTTTTTTAAGTTCCTGTATTTCTAGAATTTATATATATATACTTTCTTATGTTGTTGGCTTGTTCACTACCTGTGAGCCACACTGTAGCCAAAAGAGTAGACAAGGTAGAAATAGATATGGATTTAACAGGAGACGAAGGATGGAAATCAATAAAACTTGGGCAGGAGACAAAGGCATAAAACTGGAATGAAAATAGGTCCAAAGGAGTCTGTGTGTGTGTGTGTGCGTGTGTGTGTGTGTGTGTGTGTGTGTGTGTGTGTGTGTGTGTGTGTGAGAGAGAGAGAGAGAGAATGAGAGTTTTTCTTTGTGTTTGTGTGTATGTATTATAAAAATAAAAGGCACCATACAAGGTATGAAATACAGGTCAAAATACCAAAAAACATGCATATCTAGATATGCATAAATATGCATATGCCTCAGTATGGAGGTTCATATCCATACATAAATATGGTTATTAACTGATTTTAGACATTTAAATAGCCCCACAGTGTGTCGTTGGAAGGACCAGGGGATTTTTGTTAGTTTAATTTACTCACTTCAAACTTTACAAACTTTCAGTCAGCCTTTCCATTTGCAGCCAGGAAGGTTCAAAATACTGAAAAGAAGAGTAAAGAGGTCGGTTTAAGTGAGACAGAGAAATGCTTCATCTAAATTTGTGCCATCCATCACACTGCCAAGCACCGGACTTGGGTCCACTTCTGAGAGATTTAGGTTAAAAGGACTCACACAAAGCTCTTTCCACAAAGCTGCTTATATTCTCATCATATTCCTCCCCTTTAACTTCTTCTTGGGATCGTATTGGTTTATATTGGTTTTACTTGACCTGCTTTTTGAAAACAAATTCTAATCTGATAGAAAAGGTCGAGGAAGCCGAAATGAGAAAGGCATTTAGACTTATTTCTGTTCCATCATTATAAATGTTACCGATTTGTTTCTTGATGTGAACACTTTTTAGGTTTAGAAAAAGGCACTGCAAGGTTATCAGGTTTATTATTGTTGCATAGCAACATCAAGTGACTCTTCCAGCACTTTCCACTGGCAGCTGCAAGAAAATAAAAAGAGGAAAAAAAAAAGAAAGCTTGACTTTTTTCAGGGCTTTAATTTCCATCAAACAGAAACGTCAGCTGGATCTCGGAGAGCAGTGGCCTTGACACTAGAGCTCCGCAGGGTTTTCATCCCACGCTGAGCCTCAGACACAAAGCCCAGAGCAACCACTGGACATCGTCAGCTGTGATTACATTTCCACCATGCTGGAGACAGCTTTAAGGGATGATTGAGCCCACACAGACACAGGCACACACAACGTCCAAATGTCGACACGGATATTACAACACACAGCGGCGAACTTTATGCACACGTGTTGATAAGAAATGACCCGCGCTGTACATACACTGTATAATAAGGATTAGCCCTCATGACTGCACTGCACGTACACTCGAGGCGTACGGAAGCTGCCATGGTAACTTGTGTTAAGGAAGTATAAAGGCAGCTTTTTCCACCCGCCGCTGGCGTCACTTCACCCAGGCTCCACCTCTGCTTAAAAAACTTTTGATGATGATGTATGTTTAAACCCCAGCTTTTTTTTTTTTTTTTAGCTCCTTATTAAATCAGTTTCATTATGCACCAAAAAGATCCAATACATCCTCTGGGGGTCATCTGTAAGTTAAACCTCAGTGGAGTTGATGCTGCTGCAATGTATGGAATAATGAGCTGTAGGATATCAAAAGCATCCTGCCTGTTGGGAATGAAGAGTTTCTTCTCATTTCCCCACACTTTCTCTGAGGTTTATAAATTGTTTTATGACAGCCGAGCTGCTGAGGTCAACAAGGCCTGAAGAAGAAAGACTGCGTGTTCACGTGGTGTGAAATTGGGACCACTAGAGCACAGAGTGGGCAAGAGAATGACGATATAATATATTTAATAAAAAAGAGAGCAGAAATAGGTGGAGACTAGCATGGCCCAAAGGTAATTAACAAATATCCTAAGAAAGAGAGTGATCGGTTGGCTAGTTGGTTGGAGGGGTTGCTTTATTAGCCTCATCACTATTGGAAATGAATACTGAGAGAAAGATAGAAGGACACACCATGTTCTCTGTGACTTACTGAAAGTAATGTTTGTACTAAAAATGATCAAAATGTATAGGTCAGTACATGAAATTCACGTGATCCAAATAAAATGTTTATATGTGTTACAAAAAGAGATCAGTGAGTATGAATAGATTAATAAAATCTAACTGATGCTTGTGAAATGTGTTATGCTCTGGATCAGTATTGGCACTGAAATTGTCCTGTGTAGCCCATTGTAAAACTGAAGTTGTCCTGAGACTGAAGTACATAGTTGGACTGTATAGGTCCAGGTGTTTTCAGTCCCATTGTCACAGGTGTATAAAGTCAAGCGTATAGCCATGCAGTCAAGGCTTTGTGAAAGAATAAGTCCTCCTAAAGATCTCACTGAATTCAAGCGTGGAGATGTATTCGGATGCCACTGTTGCAGCAAATCAGTTTACGAAATGTTTTCCTCCTCCGATCAGCTGTGAGTGGTAATAATGTAAAATGGAAATGTTTATGGTCAAGTGGTGGCGTTTTAAGTATGTCAGGGTATTGTTCACGAGTAAAAGGAGAGTTAAGACACTGGTCATTTTTGGAGGCACTTGGAGTAAAGCTGCTACTACTCAGAAAGAGCCAGTTGAGCCAATTTCTGCCAATTCGGAAGGTCTGCTAGGTGAGGTGTTCCTGGCATGTCCTACCAGGAAGAGGCCCTGGGTAGGATGTAATCCCTCCAGGATACCCTAAAGCCTGTCTGGCTTGGGAATGTCTCGGTCCCCTTCAGAGAAGCTGGATGAGGTGACTAGGGATAGAGCGGTCTGGGTTTCTCACCTTAGACTGCTGCTGCCCGATGGATGGATGGATAAATAACCTTAGGTACCACAGTAACTCAGCCATTAAGTGGTAGACCCTGTAAAGGTAGAGAGTGAGGTTGTGGAGAGGTGCACAGTGAATGAAAGTGACCAATGTTCTGCTGGCTCAGGAACTGCAGAGCTCTAAATCTCCTCTGGCATTAACATCAGTACAAAAACTGTACACAAGGAACTTCGTGGCATGGATTTGTCATACTTTTATTCATGTAGTGTATGAATAAAAGTATTACCAGTGGAAAAGTTTGGGGAGTGGGGGATGCGGTTCAGGATTATTATTTCTCTTGAATTTCTGAATATTTTAAAGATGTTATGTACAACAGATGATAGCAAAAATGTGACCTTTTGTTTAACTGTCTGAACACATTCACTTTCATAAAGTGGTAAACTTTGTTCAGCCTTTCTTAATGCCCTTGTGATACAGTTGCATTAGGTGACTGTAGCTGCTTGTGGGGTGATTGTGGCGCAGGAGTAGAGCTAGACAGAAAGCTCACTGATGCAGTAAAAAGTACGTGTATGAATGTGTGAATGAGACAGGTTGTATAAAGTGCGTTGAGTGCTAAGGTAGACTAGAAAAGTGCTATTTATGAACCAGTCAATTTACAATTTGGTGACCACGAAAAAAACATAATTAGTTATGAAATGTTCCACCAAGGCTTTCTGGTGTTTAGGCTGAAATTGCGATGTTTATTCATGCATGGAATTCAATGCAGGCAACAGAAGACTGGCAAAGTTGCGCAATGCTTAATCACCATTTTATCCGACACGGTCCATTTTTGGAAGTTCCCTTTAGCTCAATTTAGGAAAAAATATGTGATGACAGTTTCCATGGACCTGCTGCCAAACTTCACAGGTGAACTGCCTCATATCTTGTCAGGCAGCCCAGATTTTCTTGCAACTACCAAAATACACATAAGCCTTTCTGCATTAACAGGTGAGCAGCAGACACTTTATTGATATAAAAAGGTGTTCCTGTCTCTCTGTCTGTCTGGCAGAGTGGGACCCTTTCAGATAGCTAAAACTGTTTTGACTCAATCTGAATAGAAAGCTATGTGCATAATTCCCTGAGGGAATGTGCTGAGGATTTAGTGTCTCCTCCGGTTGTGGCGGCTCAGCCTTTTGTCTGGCTTATCGGTATTGTCTGCGGGACAATCGGGACTGTGGCGTCATTATTCTCACATGCACAAGCACATGAGGACAGGGGATCCAAGGTCTTCCAAATATGCGCGGCCGTAGCAAACGAACAGTCATCAGTAAAGACAGACAGGGCTAACAGGGGCTCGCACTAGGTGATACTTCAGTACTGAGCAGCAGCTCTAAACAGGACAGATTTTTCTCTTGGGAACTTGACAGCCTTCCTCGAATGGTGTCACAGCCCCGGGATTAGTTCTGTTTACTTCACGATGTCAAACAAACACACACACACTGACACAGACAGAAAGGGCTGACAGTAAAGAAATGTTCCCTAACGATGAAATGTCTCTGCCTCTCTTCCCTCCAGGTACATGGGTGACATTTGGAGGACAGATAACAGACGAGGTATGAAACCCTTACCTTTATTTTACATGTCTACTTGATGTCAGTGCAGTCTGCTCATTGATTACACTGATGTACAGTGTATGGCACATTAGACTGGTTGGTGTGGCTTCTTTTTTTTACCTATTAAATAATGACACAACTTTTTTGCCTGTCAAATGTTTAAATGCAATTAAATATGCTATATAGAGAAAGCTGCCTTACTTATGGATGAAACAGCAAAAATGGGTCCAAGTGCACTGATATAGGAAATTGATGAGCCATAATAGACAATGTAGCTTAAAATTAGCAGCACGGTGGCACGGTGGCACGGTGGTTAGCACTGTTGCCGCACAGAAAGAAGGTCTTGAGTTCAATTCCACCATCAGGCCGGGGTCTTTCTGTGTGGAGTTTGCATGTTCTCCCCGTGTTTGCGTAGGTTCTCTCCGGGTACTCCGGTTTCCTCCCACCGTCCAAAAGACATGCAGTTAGTGGGGATAGGTTAATTGGAAAATCCAAATTGCCACTAGGTGTGAATGTGAGTGCGAATGGTTGTCTGTCCCTGTGTGTT